CACACACACACACACACACACACACACACACACACACACACACACACACACCTGCAACAACATGAATGCAACTAGAGAGTATAATGCTAAATGAAATAAGCCGGTGAGAGAAAGACAAATACCATATGATTTCACTCATATGTGGAATTGAAGAAAGAAAACAAATGAACAAAGGAAAAAAAAAAAAGAGAGAGAGAGACAAACCAAAAAAGAGACTCTTAAATATAGAGAACAGATGGTTACCAGAAGGGAGGTTGGTTGGGGGATGGGTGAAATAGGTGAAAAGGATGAGAGTACACTTATCTTGATGAGTACTAATATAGAACTGTTGACTATATGTTAACTCTACCGGAATTAAAATTTAATAAATAAATAAAGTAAAAAAATCTTGTATTAATTCTGGTCTTAGAAATGTAAACTACTATATACTAATCTGGATGTAAATTTTAAAAAATAAAAAAATAAAGTTAAATTACAAAGTTAAAAAAATGTAAACTAATTTGTTAAAAATAATTTTTGTAAAACATGTTAAAACTTTGTTAGCTTCTATTTGACAACATCACTCTACAACATTCTAGAAGTTTGAATTACTTTCGTGTACTACACAAAAAATTCATGAAATAGGATTAAGTCACTTTATGTCATATCACTTTAGTGAAAATCTGATTTTGTGACTAGAAAGCAACTAATCAGGAAAGAAAATGTAAAAATGAGCTTTTATATAAGCGAGTCTTCCAGATCCTAAATCATTAATTTAAAAATTGAGAGAAAACATGCAATGAACAATGAATACGTGATGATCAAATAAATGGACCCTTCACAGGATAAAGGGGCTAGGTTTTTTTTGTTTTGTTACAACATCCACTATTAATAGAATGACTCTGGTCATGTGATATTCTTCAGAAATTAGGTTTTGCAGTACTGTTATTAGCTTGGCTTACAAACATAGTATTTTTCATCACCTTGCTATTACCCAAAAATGTGGTACAACAGAGCACCAACTCTAAGAAACTTCTTTTTTCATATCCAATGGGTTTTTTATCAGTAGTCCAGAAGTGTAACCAATCTTTGGAACCTCGTACTCTTAGAAGCTATTTATAATAGGTCCATCTGAGCTCCTTAAAACAGTTTATTGCTAACACAAAGGAATTTTAAGGAGTACTTAAAATCTAGTTACGTAACAGTTTACTCAAGTAAAAAGAACAGTTAGAAAATGAAGCCCCGACAGACAAAATACTGTAAAAAAGTAGTTAATGGATAGTGTTCAGATTTCAGCAGCACTAGTCTTTGTAAGCCAGAAGACACAACAAATGAAATATTTCAACTGTTGGCTTTGTTATGGAACTTTAAAAAAAAATTGTGTTGTGGTCAGATCGGTTTAAATATGATTGCTCTCTATGAAGTATTTTCACTTGAATATGGTTAAAATATTCTAGAACTTTAGCTGGTTATTAGACTAAAAAACTTTTAATTACATTCTAAAAATTTCTATATAATTCTTTCAAGCAAAAAGCAGAATGGTGCAGAGTACTGGACTGAGGATAGAGACCAGGTTTCAAGTCTTTGCATTTCCATCAACTGTTGTATGACCTTAGAATAGCTATTGTTAATCATTAGAGAGAAGCTGATAGCTTCTTTTAAATGCTATGATGACCCATTACTAAAGAAACACCTTGTAATTGTTAGAAAATCTCTAGCTGTTATGAATACTAAGCCATATATAGAGTTCAATTATTATTCGGTACACCTGAAACTAATGTAACGTGTCAACTACACTCAAGAAATTAAAAAAAACCCACCACTATCAGTTACTGAGCTCTTACTATGTGCTAGCCACTGAACTTTACATACATTATTTACTTCTCTTTAAACAAATTTTTTTTTAATGTTTATTTATTTAGAGAGGGAGAGAGAATAAGAACAAGGGAGAGGCAGAGAGAGGGAGAGAGAGAATCCCAACAGGCTCCACGCTGTCAGAGCAGAGCCCAACGCGGGGCCTGAACTCACAAACCATGAGATT